GGCACAGATCTTCCAGTCTTACTTCTTATAGACCTCATACTACCTGGATAAACCATTGATCACTGTCCAGAAATCAGTGTACCACAGGACACCCTTTCCCCACACAAGATAGTGTATTTCTTGAAGTTCTGCCAACTGGGATTCATGGTTATGTCAATGGTCTGTGTGGGACTTTAATGAGGCACAGTTCTCTTTAGGCTGGCATTAATACGCCATGCTTAAGTAAGGAAAGTTTCCCACTAATCAGTGATACAAGTTTTTTATCAACTATTTATAGGGATTTATTAACATTTTATAGTTTCAAGATTGAATGTATATAAGTTTAAACACTTATACTTTATTTTTCTATTGTTTTATCTTTATTATTTTCTACATAATCTCGTTTTTAGAGATTCGGTCCTCATTATTTAAAGATTTTTTTCCCAGTTAAAGAAAAATTCTTTTATGATGATTTTGGATAAAAACAACATATTTATCCATATAATATATAAGGACTTTACAAAAATGGTATTAAAATTCTTTAATAGTTTTATCCATGCATATGTATCTGTCATGAGTCAGAGTTCAAAATTTCTCTGTTAAGGATACTACTTATATTTCCACATATTTTAAATATTATTTATTATACCTTTATTTTTTAATTAAGTTAACCTGGAATTCCACACCTTGTTATAAGGAGGCTATCGAACATAGCAATATGAACATGAATTTACATTTTAAAAGTAGCTTCTGTAAAGTAACTTTGGAAATGAACAGCTGATTATTTTTCAGAGTAATATTTAAAAGTACTGAATTAATTGCTTCTTTGATGATGTGGCAGTTTTAAAATATCTATTCATATTCTGTGACAATTCTCCCATCAATAGTTTGCTTCTAATACCCCGTCAGTAGTTTGAGCCTAATATTCATTCCCTTGATGATTGTTGTGGATTGGATTGTGTCCTCCAAAAAAGTGTGTCAACTTGGCTAGGCCATGATTCCCAGCATTATGTGATTGTCCACC